TCTCATATTTATTGATCAAATGGTTGTTAACAACAATAAAATTCAGTATAGGGGGGTCAACGCTCAATGTACAATCATTAATCCATCTCAAGCCTAATTCTCGTCAGTCTCCAATCTTTTGTCTGGGCTTCTTTTTTTAAGGACAATTTATGTTGTATAATATAGCATTCTTTAAAACAGTGAAAAATCCTTGTTAGTTTTTCATAGGCTAGAGTAGTATAATCAGTTATGAGAAATTTCTAATTATTTCTTCAATCTCTTATTTTACCTTAAAATAATCATTGTTATCTTCTACTAGAAAGTGATACTTAGAAAGACCAAGTCAGTATTACTTAAAATTGGAAACAATAACCAGAAATAGTTTAATATGATTGTATCAGAGGATTGATCTCCAGACATCCTGACTTGCTTGTTTTTTACCTTCCCCTTGACTGACAATGGGGGCCTCACATGCTTCAGTACTTGCCTTCTGATTGCCCAGCTATTTGTGGTTCTTGGAATGTTTTTGGTACCAAGGAGCAAACCCTCTCTACCCATCAGGTACTCTCCATCATCCTGACGTTATTTTAGCACTCTACAAGAAAGAGAAGCCAAAAATGCCATGTGAAATACTAAATAGGAACTCTAAATGGACTAAATCCTGGTGTACTGAGAGCATTCTTCTTGCAAAATCAGAAATAAACTTTGACGCATAAGGTATAGTTACACTGTGTTATAAAAAGCCTCGGCAGAAACATTGTATGCTCAGTTTTTTCATAGAAGAAATTCCTAATATATTACTTAAAGCATCTAGAAATAAGAGGGATGAAATTTGAATGTCCTAGCAGATTTTCTGTAATAGTAGTGGGATTGTTCTGCCAGAATATGGAATTAAAGTGCTTTGCTTTTGTAATATAAATGCCTTGTATGATCCCATTACAATAGTAAGGTGTTTGGTGTTAATGTTTAATTTAATAATGTAGTTTTCTTCTGCACTATCTGCTCAACAGCTGTGTGACCTTAAACAAGTTTGCAAAATGAAAAGTTGGTTGGTAGAATTTCAAACTTTTTTAATTTAGGAGACTCTTTTTGTGGCCTAGTATATGGTCTATTCTGGAGAATGTTCCATGTGCACTTGAGAAGAATGTGTATCCTGCTGCTTTGGGTGTAGAGTTCTATACATGTCTATTAGGCCCATCTGTTCTAGTGTGTTGTTCAGTGCCTCTGTGTCCTTACTTATTTTCTGACTGGTGGATCTGTCCTTTGGTGTGATTAGTGTGTTGAAGTCTCCTAACATGAATGCATTGCATTCTATTTCCTCCTTTAATTCTGTTAGTATTTGTGTCACATATGTTGGTGCTCCTGTATTGGGTCCATATATATTTATAATGGTTATATCCTCTTGTTGGACTGAGCCCTTTATCATTATTTAATGTCCTTCTTTATCTCTTGTTACTTTCTTTGTTTTGAAGTCTATTTAGTCTGATACTAGTACTGCAACACCTGCTTTTATCTCCCTGTTGTTTGCATGAAATA